TTTGAAAACCCTTAATTATGTATTTTGAAAATTCATAATATGAGTACTGGTTACTTTTTTTAAGAACTGATGGCCACTGTACATTTTTCTGTTCAGGGTGTTGATTTTTTTTTTTAATGTTCCATGCCGACCAGTTTTTGGAACTTTTGTTTGTGTCATTAGACTTTCAGGGCACTTTCATTGCAGAAAAGGTCCAAACATAACCTAAATTTAAATAAGGCTTTGGTAATACATGTCCTTTATATAAAACTATTGCTTAAGTTGAATAACTCCTCTGTAATGAAGCAATTTCAACTTTGCTACCAAAGTTTCAGAACTTATATGACTATTCCTTTCTAGAAGCTAGTTTTGACTTTCTTCTCTGAGTAGCAGTGTGTCTACTTTTACTGAATGTTGGTATTTTTTGAGTATCTCATTGGGTGTCAATTTGCATTTATAAGTATCTTTAAAATCTAGTCCTTAATGCATCATTAGAGCTGTCAGTCAAAGAAGCCCATGGAAGATGATAATGCAAATACTTATGAAGATAAACTGAAAAGGTAAAGTTTTATATAATTGTAATATGTAGCAAATTTACTTTTAATTTACAACACTTAATACAGTGTATGTTTCTTGTAGTCAGAATTACAGTGTTCTTATTACTGGTTCTTAGGCTTCAATCAGTTACAAAATTAATAGGATTAGAGTTCTATTTTTCTCTCATTCATTTTCCTCTCTAAATATATTTTTGCTTCACACTAAAGAGAGATTTCTGCACTTCAATTTAGATAAAGCAAAAGAAGAAAAGCAAGACACTTTTGTAGAAAAGTTAGTCACTCAGGTCATCAAAAATCTTCAAGTGAAAATTTCCAACATTCATGTGCGATATGAAGATGATGTGAGTACTTTTGTATATATGTGACAGAAAACAGCTGTTTGCAATGATTATGAACCCATCTGGTTTCTTATTTCCTCTTTACTCTTTTGATGTAATAAGGAAACTTCTAACACTTTACCAATTTCTAGCACTTTTTTAAGTCATGCCTTTGTGAACAATAAGTGCTGTTGCAAATCAACCAGGATTCATTTGGCAGATTTTTGAAAATGTCAAAAATAAATGAGAAGATAGCCTTTGGTAAATGCAGATATAAATTTGGAGCTTAAAGCGCATAGAATAAAATAAATATGTGAGCGGTTAAATGATTAATCATTTAACCAATAATCCCAATGATAACCAGTTCTAGGTTACCAGTATCATTTAGCATGGGGCAAGATGCAGTTTGGCAGGAAGAGGGGTGGGGGCATGGGAAGCCGTACGATGGCCCAGCAGTAACTAGAAGGTGGGAGGGAGGAGGGAAGGAGGGGACTATTACCTATAGCTAGGCTCTGCAGACCCCAGTGCAGCTGCTTGCAGCCTCCCTGCTGCCTGTCATGAGCAGCCTGGGCTCTGGGCAAACCCCTGCTGCCCACTGCAGAACCCTGTCTGCTCGTGATAGGCAGCGGAGAAGCTGCAAGCAGCTACCGGGGTCTGCAGAACCTGGCTATTTAGTACTAATCTCCTTCCACCTACCAATTTATCATTTAACCGTTGTAATTACAACAGGTTAAATGGATATTTTTTTTAATCAGTATTTACATCCCTAAAGTAAAACTACATAACTGGTAGATCCTTGTAGGCAAATATTCAAATATTACTAATTGTGTTCCTTTTCTGTATGTATTCTAATTTAAAATAGCTCTTTTATATATTTGCTCTTATTAGATTACAAATCGAGAGAACCCATTGTCATTTGGTGTTTCACTTCAGAATCTCAGTTTGCAAGTAAGTAAAATTTAGACAATAATAATATTCAGTAAAAAGGTAATATTGCTAGATTAATACTCTACACTAACTTGGAATATATTTTATAAATTAATATGAATATAGTTGTTGACAGCTTGCTATTTTAGGAAAGAGGTATTATAGGATGAAATTTTGCATAATAGTAAAATATGAGCCTGAAATGTAACAAAGGTTTAAGTTGACTAATCCTTGCAGGTACTGGTTAGCCAAAGGCACAGCAAATGCTACAATAACCTGAGAAAGTTGGCAACTCCAAGAACTTTTTTTCTTTTGTTTTTTTTTCTGGCATCTGTACGCCTCATTTTAATATGTTACCTGTCTTCGGAATTATTGAAAGGACATCCTTGCACCCTTCCTGTATACGTTATGGGTCTCAATCCTGGCCCTAGGTTTCATCTCTGAGGAAGGATTCATGCCTTTTCTCAACTAAATTGAAATAATGGAATTAGGTTTATAGTGTATATTTACTATTTGCTTCTGATATTTGATCATGCTAATATTGGAACAGAAAGGTCAGTATGCATCTAGTGGATTTCAGAATAACTTTTCTGTATTTTTTCTCTCCAGACAGCAGATCAAAATTGGAATCCATGTTTACATGATGAAACTGCCAAGCTGTTCTATAAGGTAAAGTATGATAACAACAACACAGTGTCTATAACAAACTGTCATGAAAGAGTGCATATTTTATGAAACCTAAACTTGAGAGAGAAGCTGAGCATGTGAGGAGTATTTGAATATTTACTATCAATTAGAAAATTAATTTTAGTGGAAAGTTCTGGAAGATCAATCTGTTTGACTGTAAAAATTCTGCTTGGTTTTCAGATTGTACGACTTGATAACTTTTTTGCCTACTGGAATGTGAAGTCTCAGATGTTCTACCATGGTGGTTATGATGAATCTTTGGTAGGTCAAATATGACTTAAAGCATACTAATAACGACATCATATTTGAAATGTTACTGAATATATTAGATTAGTATAAACAAAGTTGAACCACAGTGTATTTAGGCAGATCTTATGTTTTATAAAATGTTGAAGATGAAGTGTGAGTGGCCTCAATACTAACTATAACTTTTCTCTGTCTAGCCATGGTTGTTTGCTATTACACTGCATTTTGTAGGAGGAAGTAGTTGTTATGCTCGCTCATATTGTTAAAAACCAAAGGTTTTTTATTAAAAGGACTTGTTTAATTTCACTTAAGGGCAAGCATCTATTTCTAGCAAACTAATTCAGAGGCAGTCTTTCTACAAAGCACATTTTAAAACATTTTCAAATTTTATATAAAGTTATTTGACTGACATGGAAATTAAGTTCTCAAAGTTGATTTTATTTTATTTTTTTAATATAGAATAATTTAAAGCAAGGAGTTGCCTGCCAAAATATGATTCCAGATGGTTATGAGTTTGGTAAGTGGCGGTTTTCTCTGAATGTACTTTTTATTTCACATGTAATGCTTAACAGAACTCTTTAGTTTTATGGATATTTTATACTATACTAAGAGTTTTAAATAAAGCAAAATGCTGACTACTAATTTTTCATGTCCATAGATCAGATTAGACAGAACTTTCCAGAAACGTCTGTCACTTCTTTGAAGCAAGGGGGATTAGGACCAGGACCCATCTTCCCTGTGCTCACCACCCAGCCCCCAGAGTTGATGGCATTTGGTCCATGGGGATCCTCATTGGTCAGGAAATTTGGCAGTGGGGGAGCAGTGGCAATTAATACTTCTGGCCCCTGCCTGGCTTGGCTGGGTGGGGGCTGAGCCATACCCTTTCACCCCCTTCCCTTCCTATAGCACAGGGGTAGGCAATTATTTTGGGCAGAGGGCTGCTTACTGAGTTTTGGCAAGCCGTCAAAGGCTGCATGACAGCCGGCCAGGGGCAGATAAATATTAATTTCCTAAACTTTTTAGGGGCCCCGCAGGCCAGATAGAATGGCCTGGCAGGCCGCATCCAGCCCGTGGGCTACATTTTGCCCACCCCTGCTATAGCATCAGCCCTGCATGCTGTGGACAGATTGGCCACTGCCCATCTGGTCCACAGGACAAAAAGGTTGAGCACCTTGTGATCTAGAGGGTATTCAAAAGAGGCCCTTACAGGTTAACAGGTGCTTTAGGGCAGGGGTTGGGAACTATTCTCTGCCATGGGCCACTGTTTATGACCCAGCCCTCTGCCAAAAGGTGTAAATCTCTGTCCTTCCCTTCAGGTGTACATAAACCTCTATGCGTGTTTACTCATCGATTCAGGTGGCCAGCAGTGATGGAATGGGTTAGATTTGGGTGGGGGAACAGAGCAGGCTGTGCTGGGCAGAGGGAGTAGATAGAGTTCTGAAATCCTAAGGACCCTGGGGTTGATCTTGGGTTTCTGTGAAGGGTATTGGTGGAACTTGGCATGCTGTGGGACTGTGGTAATGCCTTACTGGTGCCCAACCAGAGTATGTTGCTCATCCCCTGAGCTACTGTGGACCAGATCTGATCTGGAGGGTAATGGTTGCTCACCACTGCATTAGGGAACCTTCTAATTAGCATCCATTGATGTTTATGTCTCCATCTTGGTACCCCTCCCAGCCCTGGACTCTAATTCAAGTAACAGAAGAAGGGCTGTCTGAAATATTTTCGTGGCTAGGACCTGCTGTAGTAATGACTTGCAGTAGTGACATGCCTTCTGCCTCTTGACCTACCTCCGTGAACTGGTGATCAGCATTGCTGCAAGTGCCCCCTCAGAGAAGCTGTCAAAGAGAGGATCACTAGTCTGCCATTCATCAAGGACATGCCACGTTGTTTAGTCAGTCTCTGGAGGGAGAGCCCGGGCAAGATGGTAGGGACTTTGATTTTCTATGGTCCTGTGCCTGCAATGCTATGCAGTACCTTAGCAAGTGCAACTGCTGCTATAGTTTGTCATAGTACAGGGGTCCCATTGCTCCTGACTGCAGCTCTCATTTGGATCACCATCACCTCCTGAGTGAAGACCTGCCTGGAGAGGTTCCCGAGAGAGGTTGAGTGAAGTACACCAGTGACCTTTCAGGGAAATTGCAGCTAGGTCACTTTGAAGGGGAACACCAGCAAACGCTTCCTGCCTTGAGGCAACTTTACCTGGTTTGCAGAGTGGTGCTTCATCCACCAGGCCTGCCTCAACTAGCTCCTGTTCAATGGAGCCATCCACTATGGCCACTGGGACAGAAGCTGGTGGAGCTGCTTCTATGAGAACAAGACCCTGCCCATGACCTGTATAACTGCAAACCCCATGCAGGAGCGTGGCAATTTTGCTATAATACCCTACAGGATTGGCTGGTCAAGGCCTGTCTCAGTGTACATAGGGACAGTTGCTGTAAACGGCACTAACTAGGTTGTGACTAACAGCTCATTGCACCCAGATATTGTTGTAACCATTGACAGCAAAAAGATCTTGATCATCAATGTGACCATCTCCTTTAAGAACTGGTGGAAGGCTTTCACTGAAGTCTGGAAAGAGAAGTTGACTAAGTACAGCCAACTGGCTAGTAACCTGAAGGAGAAGTGTGTAAGGTGCCTGCAGGAGTTCATAATCAGTACACATGGTTCATGGGACCTGAGTAATGAGAACATTCTGAGAGTGCAAGGTGCCATGGTGCTATTTCAAGTTGATGAGGTATCAGACACCATCAAATGGTCATGGGAAGTTTTGTTGAGCACATCATTGGCTATCATTAGTATGAAGAGTCAGCCAAGATTATCTGACAGAAGTTAGAGTTGGGGGATAGACTGAAAATGGCACCCCCTCTTTATGCCATAGCCTCTAATAAAGACCATGAGTGCTACAGAGAGTACCTTTACCCTTGGCAAACATAAGCAAATGTAAAGAAAATAACCAAGAATGCCTCTACCATCCTACAGCTATATACTAATATGGTTACCATGTGCTTGGTTCTGACTCATACCTATAAAGTATGGAGAGAAAAAAAAAATTAACCCTGGGCATATGTAGGTTGCATGTTTAATAATGTGTTAAGATTGCTTTACCATCCCACAGTTACGTATGTACCAATATGATTTCTATTTTTGGGGTCCTGTTCCCCTCATAACTCTACTGTATTGTACAAAATGTTTAATTTTACCATTTTCTTAATCAAACATTTAAATTTGATATGAAATAACCTCCTCTCCCAGGTTTCCATGTATTGTTGATATGGTGCTAAATAAAAGCTCTGTAATGTATTAAAAGTATGGTTTCTGGAAATAACTCTTTTAGCCTCATGTGGAAGAAGAGTAGAGTAATGGAAGTGAAAATGGAAACACGGCTATGCATAATAGATTTTTTTTGTGGTTTTGGAATCTGTGAGACTTAATAAATGGTCATAAATTCTATTTGAAATTTAAGGACCTGTCTCAGTTTTAGTTAACAACTATTCCACATCCAAGGCAACTTGCTGGAATGGATAAAGTATCTTAACAAATGTAAATACTCACAAAATGTGGTTAGGGTCCTCCATTTTAAAAGTGGGGCCCCTGACAGACATTCACTTTCAAGATGTGATGGGATCTAATCTTTAATCCCAACAATTGTGCTTTTTGCCATGTTGCATGTGCAATTTTGGGATTGGGAATTGGATCCCAATTGGTTCATGAGCCCAAGCTCCCCCTGCAACAGGAAGATGAAATCAATCAGCTGATTGTCTGTTGGGGATGGGAACCAAACTGGTCCCTGGCCCCAGCTGACAATCAGCTAAGTGCACAGGGAACTGGCATTGGGCTGCAGCAGCCTGAGGCAGGACTCTCTGTGTACCAAGAACTGTAAAACCAGCTGTGCAGCATGCAGGGTTTGAAAGGTCCTGGATGGCCACATGTTCAATTTAAGGCATGATTCAAATGAGCCACAAAATGATTCCATCATATATGTGGAATAACTATGTGGTTTGTTTACTGCATTATCATGCCTTAAGTAGACTTAAATGTGTGTTAACCATGTCTTAAATGTAATGTGTGTTAGGAGACTTCTTTATAACGTGTTCCTGTAATTTTGAAAATACATTTATAATGAGATTCACAAATCACCTTCAAATCATAGGATTTATTAAGTTAATTGAATAATAAGTACAGTAGCTGAGTGTAGGTATTCTACACTTTCAATCATGGTATTTGGAACATTTGTTAAAGAAGGCCTTCATTCTGCAACTGTACCTCCACCGACATTTAAATCTGCCTATTGCAGAATAAAGGCCCAGTTTGTAAAGAGCACATGTCTAATATAACTGCCCTGGGTATTTAAACACCTATCAATTACTTCTTCCTCTGGTAGTTGCCTACTTACTAGGTAAGGTCAATTTAAAGATTTACTAAGAATTTGACCGACACTTGTAACAGCAGCAGATCAAAGAAGCAGAGCTAGTCAGAAAATGAAAACTATTTGACTATTTTTTCCCCATTTTTAAAAATATTTACTACTTTTACATTTTCTGACTAGCTTAATTTAAAATGTAACCTGATGTATGAAAAAATGTTGCCCATAAGCAGTGAATAGTTTTACCTTTATTCTGTTCCTGCAAAGTAAATTACTATGGAGTAGGAACTATTATGGTGTAATAGTTGGTATAGTGAAGTGAATTTTACAGTTAAAATAGTTTCAACTATATACTAATAATGTAGCACTTATCAGCATATGGAAGGCAATGTACATCACATTTTAATTTAATTTTATTTATAGTTTAATTATTGAAAACCCTGCAAATAGAAATATTGAGGTAAATTCTTTTAAAGAAATTCCCATTGGCTCTTGGCTTGTTACTGTTCAAAATGAGTACTGCTTATTTAGTGTTTAAGCTACATAAAGGAAATTTGAGAATTTTTCAGTGGAATAATGCATAAATTTTAGGCTATACTAAATAATTAACTGATTGACTTCAGTTTCTCGCACTTAACTTTTCTTTCTACATTTTTGTTTTCTAGTATTTCGTCCAATTTCAGCTAAAGCCAAACTCCGTATGAATCCTCGATCTGATTTTGACTTTTCTTCACCAAAAATGGACTTGGATGTAAATTTACAGGATATAGCCATTGAATTCAATAAACCACAGGTAACATTTCTTGTATGAAAATTATTTCTATGACTTGATAAAAATATTAGCAGATTGACTAAAGAAGCACTTTTGAGAACTATTAGAATGAGCCTGTTAAACCTTTTGAGACCATTCTCTCTCTCTCCTTGGTGTAAATAATACAGTTTTCAAAATATTTTTGGTTAATATTTTAGAACTGTTTCTATTAATAATAATAATATGTTTTACTTGTTTTGTTTGGCTAGTACTTCAGTGTTATGGAGCTCCTTGAGTCCATTGATATGATGACCCGAAACCTACCATACAGGAAATACAGGCCTGATGTTCCTTTGCACAACAATGCCAAGGCATGGTAAGACCTTATAAAAGATTTTAAAATATACTTTTATATGTTACTTACTTGAAATAATTACCTAGAGGTTGTTTTGCAGTTGTTAAAGGAGAGCATGGTTTGTGAAATTCTTAAGCCCCTAGCACACCTTCATTTAAAGGCGCATGGTATCTGATCCCTGTTTCCAACAATTGTATCTCCTGCCATGCCATTTTAAACTGGTTACACATGTAGCACCTATGCCACTTATGCTGTATGTGGGGTAGGGCTGGCTGCGACGTTGTGGGGCATGTCACAATTCCTGCGCCAATCACTTATCCCTTGCACTTCAGTTTAACTTGCTGCTGAGTACCCGGAGCCTCTTGCCCTTGAATGGGCTCCCCTCTACTTGCCCACCATGTCTTGATCATCAGTAGTTACTGATAGGAAGGGAGGTTCCTCCAGAAATAGGGGAGATTCTCTACCCCTGGTACTGGGGCGGTTGACTTGAGCCTCTGCCTCCCCTACACCCTGTCCATTCGCCAACCGGGTTCAGTTGCAGCTGCCGTGATGTAATAGGTTGCCACACACAATGCCCCAGCTCATTTTCACCGCTGCCTGAAGGATGATGCTGGTGTCCAAAATACTTCCTGTGACAGGGAGCATCTCTCGGAACTGGGTCTTCTTTCGGCCTGCCCACCTGTCGTTACGGGGAAATCTGCCCAGTCTTGCCTGCCAAGGCTTTGCTGTTGCTACAAACAGATAGTAAATATGGGAGACTGCCCATTACATGCCCTGATGCCAGGGGGTGACCAAAGCTCTGTTCCTTCCCTACGCTGCAGCCTATGCCTTGCAGACGGCATCCAGGTTAACATTACTTCCGGTCTGAGACCATGCGCGTGCGCCTCTGGCATACTGCCTGTTATCATGCCACACTCCACTGCCCCGCTCCCCCTTGAGCGGCCCCTCTTGGGCCATCAGACTTCGCTACACTCATACTGGCCTTGCCATTCAGAACCTTCGGTTCCTGTGAGTTCACCTACTCTACGTGGTCCAGCCTTGTGTCAAACCCTGGGCTAATTCTGCCCCAAGCCTCTCACCAGGCACAACTTCTCACGGGGCTGGCCCTTGCACTGTCCTTCAAGTTTACTCCCATTCAACCCTATTCAGTGCACCCCTTGGGCTGTCCTTCAGGCCTACTCCCAACTTCAGCCCTACTCCGTCCCCTCACATGCACAGCCCTTCAGGCCTACTCACACTTCAACCCTACTCTGTGCAGGGCCTCCCAATGTTCTCCACACTACCCCCTCTGGGATCTTTCATCCCTGCTGGGCTCAGGCACCTACACATGAGCATACCTGGCCCCACTACTCCCCCAACTGCCTCCAAAACCCACCCAGAGATGGGGGCTGGGGTTAAGGCACCCCTCCTCACCTTTCACTGGGGAAGTAACTGGCCTGGCATTTCCTGGGGTCTTCCGCGCCACCACAAGTCCCACCAGGCAACCCTTCCCCAGCAGGGTGCAGTTTTAGGTCATGCCCAGGACCAGGAGCCTCCAAACCATCCCTATAAGCTCCTGCCTTTACCTTCAAGGTTGTTCCTGCTACAGTTCAGCTAGGCAATGTTTCTGTCTCCCCGGCAGCAGCAAACTGCAGCCTTTATATGCCTTGTGTTCAAAATGGCTGCCCTCATCAAGCACCTGGTAGCTGCCTGCCTCTGCCCTTAAAGTGGCAGGCACCCCAAGGTGCTCTGCCACACTTCCAAAGTCTGAGAGCTCTGGGTATCACCCCTAGACATCTTAGCACTCAGCTGGTCCTCTTGGAAGTGCTAGAAGCAGCCAAGTGGGATCTTCCCACATTGGCTCTACACTCAAATTAAATCAAGGCCACCTGGCCCTTATTACCGGGCTGTGGGCCATATTGGGATTCTACTATCTCGGTAACAAAAATAAAGGAAACCCCGGAGCACTTCAGGTATGGTGCTGTGGGAGGTGGGGAGGACTCTGTGCATCTGATGTTTGAGCTCAGTCCTGAGGCAGGTCCCACCAATTGGCTGGATGCCTTGCAACTCCTGTCTTTGGGGGTAGGAACCCCTCTGGGTTTCCTCTGGTCTGGCTTGGTGGTAGCTCTCTGGAATCCTTGTCAGGTCCCACCAGATCAGCGGGGGAGCTCCTTGCTGCCTGTGCTGCATTTGCTCCCATCGCGGCACACTGAAGCTCCAGATGCCTTTTTTAGGTGACATCCTCAGTGCGCCCTCCCACATGCAGGGAGAGTGTGCTTTTAAAGTGGTGCAGCAGAGACGCACATGCCTCCGCTTCTGGGACTTGGTTAGCTGCAGGTGAATGGAGCCAACCCTTAGCCCTTTCTGGCACACGATCCCTGGGGACTGTTGCGGAGGAATCCACCCTGCTTCCAGTGCAACCGGGAGCCTTGTCACCCCATGTGGCGACATGTGCCATGATTAATACTTTAGTTGCAGCATAAATGTAATGTATGGAGGGGCCTTTACTGAAAGTTTTGTCTGTCTACTTTATTCATTTCCTAGTTCCACACCCACTTCTAAGGTTCCAGGAGCTAACTTGAAGTTGGAATGCATTGTTTTATAACAGTGCATTACACTCAAAACTTATATCCCAGATGCTCTTGGCAGCTCTAGTGAAGATGGTTATAGGTTGATTGATTTGATTCTTGACTTTTTCATGAACTTTTCCCCTTAGCTGGCTGGCACTCGTCTGTGACTATAATATAATGGGCACCCATAGACAAAAATGAATTAGTGCTAGCTTTTCTTCTTGCATTATATCAAGACCTATGCTAAACCACAGTGGACATGATGGCAAAACTACCTTTTGTAGTTTATCTAGCTACCAAAATTGCCCCCCTCTATTTCTTCCCTCCTCAAACCTCATGGCAGTCGCTTTATTCTCTTAGGTCCACAAATTTAAGGATTTTTGTTTATCTTTGTGTAAATGTGTGCTCAAGCTTGCTTACATGCTCTCTCTAGTACATATTTTATATACGTCTTCAAAGTTCGCAGCTGGCGTCTTAAACAGTGTGTTCTAAAAACTGCTAAGTCTCTTGTGTTTTGTTTATGAGATTTTTTGATCGAGTCAACTTACTTTGTAGTAACATATAATTAACTTACGTTTTAATGTATCCTGCATTAGGTGGAAATACATTATTTACAGTGTCCTTGAAGTAAATGTCCAACCTAAGCTTAATGTGTGGTCATGGGAACACATTCAGCATCACAGAAAACAAGTGAGGAATTACAAAGAGATGTATAAAATGAAGATAACATCAAAGAAACCCAATGAAGAGACTTTAAAATTTTTGGAAGTTAGTAATTTTCCATGAAACTTTTTACTTTATATTGACCTCTAAACTTGAATGTACCTAGCTAACTGCTTAGACTTAAAGGGCCATATGTTCACCAAATAAGTAGTAACATCCATTAAAACTTACAAAGGGCTGGGGTGTCTTGTGCAAGGGGTGGGGAGGGGGACGGGCAGAAGCATGGCAGTGACTGCATGGCATATGTTGTAGGTCATGGGGGATCCTGTATCCCCTCTCTTTCACATGCCCCCTTCTCCGCTATATGAGCTACCCTGGCCTGAACCAGGTAGCAGCAGTGGTAAGATCTGTGGCCTCCGGCAGTGCAAGGAAAGCTATGCAGCAGCAGATGAGCTGCTGTGGCTTTAGCTTTGGCCTGGACCCAGGGCCAGTGCTGGTGCTGTCACCACTGCTGCTGTTTCCTAACTGAACTGGGGCCAGAGGTAGAAACTGAGCCGGGCCTGCCTCATAGGGTAAGTGATGGCAGGCACTAGGAGGGTATATGCACAGCAGGGTATGGGAGGAAGGGGTGTGCAAATAGTGGGACAGGGGGCAAGGCACCTGGGCCTGGCCACTAGGCCTGTGCAAATAAGGAAGTATTTGATTTGGCTTTGGCCAACTTGGAGGACAGTGATTTAATTCAGTCATTTGAATCTCTGTCCCCATTTGATTCAGCCAAACTGGAATTGGAGATTCAGTGCCGATTCGGTGATTCGGATCGGCTGGGGGGGGGTCCCCTGCCTGGCTCCACAAGTCTTATAAAATGGCTCCTTGAGCTGGATTTGGACCACGAGCTGTAAGTTGCTGATCTCTATTGCATCAGAGCCTGTATAAAAAAAAAAAAAAAAAAAAAAAAAAAAAAAAGCCCTGGGAGCTGGGGCAGCTCTGGCATCACTCAGCCCCAACTCCCATGCAGTGTGCAACGCCCTGCCCAGCTGGGCTGTACCCATGCCATGCGACAGCTGCCACCTGGATGCCAGGTGGGGGGGGCGGGGGGGATCCCCTCTGTTCCGCACTGCCCCGCACATGGTGTGGGTGGGGTCTGTCACCCTCAGAGGACATGTTCACCGCTGCCAGAACTGGTGAGTGTGGGGCTTTATTTTGTTTGTTTGTTTGTTTGTTTTTTAAAGTGCTGGGACTAGGCTAGGGCTGGGTGGGGGATGGGGCCGGGCAGAGCAGCCATGGGGGCTTCTCCTGCGGCTCCCCCTGCCCAGGGAGAGGCAGGCACAGCCAGAGGAGCTGCGGGAGAACCTGCAGCTCTCCGGCTATGCCTGCCTCTCCCCGGCCCATCTGAATCTTTTCCAAATCGATTTTTGCAGGCTTCGGATTCAATTTGGACCTTTTTAATGGGTCTCCCAATTTCGATTTGGATTCAGAGATTTGGTCGCTGAATCGGGCCAAATCTCCTCCAAATTGAATCGGGGACCAAAGCTTCATACAGCCCTATTGGCCACCTGTTTCCCTGTCTCTGCTTTCCCTGCTGCAGCGCTGGGAGGGACAGATTGAAGATCCTGCCTCCCAATAATTAGGTTCTGTACATGGAATATTATATATCTGTTATAATTACCCATGTGTAGAATCTAATTATTGCGGGGGGGTGGTCATCTTAAACTTGGGTAAACATGGTGTATATTTTTAAGGACTTTTTAAGTACTATGAAACTTATTTTGAAACAGTATCCTGAATGGTCTGTCTTGTCACCAATATTTTTTCACCTAGCATCCAATCTAGAAAGCCCTACTTACATTACATTTATACTGGGTTCCTTGCATTTGTTTTTAACCAATAGAACCCTGTTAAAAATACATACATTTCTTTGTTTAGCCATTAATGTAATGGTGTTTGCAAATTTCTTTTCAGTTCACCTGGCTGTGTACACAGTCCCATGCGTGGGGCATTACACCCTGCTTTTGTATGCAATTAAAAACAGTATTATGCATATGGGATAAGTGCATGATTTGTTTTCCTACATAACATATTGCCAGTCCTAGTTTGTTACCTATGTGTTCCTGTTGCTGCTCTTGTAACAAATATTAATTATCTGCGTATTGGTGCATACCTTGTTTAAGCACATAGCATTTTTCTGCCTCACTGGGTGCGTTTACATGTGCATTTACTGTACAGTAAGTTTCTGTGTAGTAAGTGTTTTTTAGGCCAGCTGTTAAAGCACAGTAATGCTGTGTATGGACTGATTTGGGACTAACTTTAAGTCTTCTCTGGGCTGAAATTGGCTCTCTCTAAAAATGTATTCCATATAAAAGTGGAAAAGATTCTCTGAGGGCCAGTGACTGTTTTGGTTTCTGGCCAGAGTTTTGGCAGAGGAGGAAGCTCTAAAAATCATGCTTTGTATGGTGTGCTTTACAACATTTTGTTTGTATTCTTTTTTCCTCTCACAAAAATATAAAGCTCACAAATTCAGAATTCATAAAGATGCATATTTAACTTTGTCTCCAGATACATGGTATGTACAAAAATAACCAGTACATTAGACAACCACTAAGGATGTTCTTTTCAAATGGACAAAAATGCTGGAATGTAAATTAAAGCAAGGGTCAAAATGGAGGTGGGAATTATTTATGCGCAGGTGAAAATAAAGCTGTTGCAATGGACAGAAAAAATGTTTAAAATTTTCCAGAAAATGAGGATATGCTGTATGCCATATTTTGCTGTACCTTGTTAGGTTCAAACAGTTGAGAGAGTAGGAGCATGCAGGGACTGAATAAAATGGTTTTTGTGCTGAGTGTGGTGCCATCCATGAATAGAAAGGTAATTAGCTGTGTTAGTCAGACTTCAGATTAATGTGATTAACTACCTCTTGCTGAAATTCTTTGCTATATTTTGTTTTTGTATACTTTTTGGCATTTATCAAATTGAACAATTAAATAATAAAGTTCTCTTCCTTGTTTCCTAGGAATTTGAAAAGACATTGGACATCTTTAATATCACATTAGCCAGACAGCAGGCAGAAGTTGAGGTAAAACTATTATCATTAAGCTCAGAGAAAATAAATTAATATATGAAAGGGGTTGCCTTTTTATTTGTACATTTTACACAGTTATTTACTGTCTTCTGATTATTGGACTGATAGTCACGGTTGGGCCTAAACTCTGTTCACCTCTATCCTGAGTAGACAAGAACTTGGTGATGACCTCATAATCTTTTTTTAAAATAAGTGATTTGGGATAAATTTGACATCTTTTCAATTTTATACCTACAGCCCTTCCTGAAAAAGTTTTGGGTAACTCCTTAGTTCACCTTTGTTATTTTCTGTGTTTCTTATCACCTTTGCTCCAGTACTGCAGTCCTCTCCCAGACCAGTCTGAGAGGGAGTGAAGTAGCCCCTGAAGCTCCCTGCCTACTTTTCCAGACCAGATACTGCCAGCTGGGCAGCATGGGCAACAGTGGGAAGCTGGGGGCTTGGGGAAATGGGCTTGGGGATGTTCTCCCTGAGCCCAGTTCCCAGCTTGCTGTCTTTGAAATTTGCTGTCCGGCTGGACACTGTGAGCAGCATTGGAAGCCCATAATGCTGGTAACTGGGGTGGGGGAGAGCTTCCCTCATCCTTGTTCTTTCTGTGTGTGCTGCCCAGCTGAGAACCCTGGCAGGGAGTGCAATTTCAAAGCCTATATGGTAAAAGGAGAGGGTCTGACTTACTTGTAAGCAATGTTTGCATTAGACTTTTTTTTACTTGAGAGAGTGATTTCTTGCCAATAGTGCAGTCCCGTTTCCAAAAATGTACGTGTTACACTTTACAACAGGGGCAGGCGAAGTCCAGCCTGCGAGTTGGATTGGGCCCATGGTCGACCTCCATTTCCCAGCAGCTCCTTCCTGTGTCACTGCAGCCAGTTTCCATGAAGACCTCAGGAGCAGCGTCAGCATTACAGTGCAGGAGCAGGGTTTCCATTCAGCTCAGCCTCAGTGCCACTGTTAGGACACGCAGCTGGACAGGGAGCTGTTCCTGGGCTGCGATCTTGGAGCTATGACAGCGTGGTCCAAAGCTGGGGCAGAGCTGCAATCCACTGCCCACACGTTCCGGGCTGTGGTGTGCAGGCATCGGATTGTGGCTCTGCCTCGGCTCTGGACAGTGCTTTCACCACTGCAAGCCCTGGCTCCTGAGCAGCATTTTGCCCTGCCAGCAGTGCTGGAGCTGGTCTCCGTGGAAACCCTGGCAGTGCGCTTTTACAGTGCTGCTGCTGCTCCTGGGGTCTCCATGGAAACAGGCTGCAGTGATGTGATGCAGGCAGGGGCTGCTGGGAAATGGAGTCCAGCCACCAGCTGGATCCATCATTTTGGCCACCCCTGCTTCACAGTATGCTTCCAATACCTGCAGCTGGAATAAAAAAAAATATCTCACCTTATCCATCCCACCCACTTAGTGTATTAAAAAAATCTTAATTCTCAATTTTTAAGTTCCTGTGTAACATATGAATTAAATAATTACTTACTTTCTTCTGTATCACAGGCAACCAAAGCTGGATTAAAGATTTACAGACCAGGGGTGAAACAAGATGAAGATAGTTCTGGTGGCTGGTTTGGCTGGATATGGGGCTGGTCAGGGGAAAAAGAAGATGAAAAGAAGCAACAGGCAAAGGGCGCAAGTATGTCCACTTAATAGTTGCATTGATTTTTTTCTGTGACCATAACATGATTTTATAGGAAAAGGGTTCTCTCTACTAAAGAAGCTTTTTATGGGGGGTAGGAATGGTTGGGGGGGGGGGAAACGTAATACTGGTTTGGCAGAAGGCAAATGACTATCCTTAAATTTCTTTCTACCATTATCACTCCGAGATGGTGATACATGTTGTGAAGGTTCGAAGTATTTTTCAATTTTTACAGTTCTTTCTTGGGTTTCTCTCCTCCTGTCCGTTTTTAGGAGTATTTGTATGGATCTGCTAGAGTAACGGTGCGGTTTGGTGGGAACACTCAGCTAAAAAAGTTACTAGCAAGTGAATATTTTTATTTTTGTTTAATACCAGCTTTAATGGCCAGGTACACCCATTACACTTTTACTGATATAAATGATTGGAAAATGGTTTATACCCATGACGGAACAGAAGTTTGGCACGCACTGACTTATTTAAAAATGGCAGAACCCAGTCTAAGATTTTTTCCCTTCCGCCCACCAAAGGGCAAATGTGCATTCTGTTTGCTACCGAACTAACTATGCTGCTTACAGAAAACGGCGTTATTTAGATCAATTCTGCCTTGGGCTTTTTGAATATCTGTACATAGCCAGTGAGGTTATGGCTATGTGAGCATCTGTTAAGAACCTGTAAAGACTTTGGGATAGGGAAGCTAAACCAAAAAGGCTTGGTTTCCTGATACAGGTTAGGAAATTGATTACAGGTTAGGAAATTAATCTGTCTGGAATCCAAAGGTAACATAATTTTGGAGAATTATTTTAATTACATCTTAGTTGTATCAGATCTGAGTACCATTTAATTTGCTTTGCTAGAGTGAATAGAGACATTTAAAAACCCCGTAAATAGAAGTGAAATCACGGGAAGCCTTAATAGAAGTAGGAATAAATCTGAACTACTTCTAAACCTCTAAATTAGTTTGAAGGGTGAAGAGAGAATTAGACTAGCTACTAAAATATTTTATGAAACTTGAGGATATTGCATTTGTTGAATTTTTCCTCTAATATCTACTTGTTTAATAGAGTTTAAATTTCTGCCTAATGAGGGATTTAGTGTCAGATGCCTACTGTTTTTTTAAAAAATTGCAAAAGGAGCTCTACATATTGCCCTCCGTTGTACTTCCCTGTGTCTAACAACATTTTCATCATAGCTAGGGTGACCATGTTATTTTTAAGGAAACCAGGACCCTGCCTCCCCCTCCGCTTCTGGCAGGAGGAGCCTGCCACCCACCTCCAGCTGCTGCTCAGGAGGGCACCAAAATACAAGTTCTCCCAGAGCGCTTCACGCACACATGAGCAGCCTGTGGTCCCAGCAGTAGTCTCCCCACCATCTCAACCAATTCCTGCCCTAGGCAGGAGGTGTGGTGCCTAGCCTACCCTGTCCACCTCCAGCCTCTTCTCAGGAGAAACCAAGCCAGGCAGTGCAGGTGGGGTGGTGCCAGTCCAGGACTAATGTTTCCATTTTCACCAACTGGCCGGGACACGAGGATGGCCTAAGAAATTGGATTGTCCCAGGCAAACTGAGATGTATGGTCACCCTAATCCTAGCACACACTGTGATAGGGATTTAAAGGAAAGAGAATAGACAGATGTAATGCACTTCTGTAGCTGCTCATTTTATTTTAGTCTCTAAGGAGTTTTAATTTTCACATTGTTCTTTTAGTATAAAGTCAAGCCCTAGGAAATTAGGGAACATCAGTAAAGTTCACCTGTGTAATCTTAAATTGGCCCTCTTGTGTGTATGCACTGAGGTGGTTTGATCATGTAACAGAAGACTATTTTTTCTCAGAAACCCTGCTTTGTTCAGTGTGCACTGTAGAGCTAGTTTGATAGTGATTCAGGAAGCTATTGTCTAGAGAGAATCTCTCTCTCAGTGGTTGGCAACCTTAGGTTGTAGGCCAGATTAACCCAGTTCAAATCAGAGGCAGGTGGGTGGGTGCAAGGACCTTGTCAGCTGGTGCTTTTCCCTCCATTGGCATGGGAAGAGCCACCCCCAGCTAGTGCTTCTGCCAGAAGCACTACAGGCTGTAGGTTGCCAGCCTCTGCTCTGTGTCCTTCACTGCAGAGATTGAAATATGTCTAGTGAGTCTGATTTGTAGAAGTGATGAACATACGTAACAGTAACTGTAATATGTTGCACGTTCAAAGAATAGTTCCAGAGTGCAAAACGTTTGAAGTACTCTGGAAAAAAAAATTCTTAGACATTTAAAATTTAATACCTGGAATAAATAAATACTTCTGACTTTAATCTCTGTGTCTCAGTTGCTTATCTGTAAAATGGGAATGGTTTCGCCCCATCTCTCATGAAGCACTTGAGTACTATATTGACGAGAACCATAGAAAACCCTATTGGAAATCAAATTTGTGTCCAGAGTCAGGTTTGAACAGTGTGGTAAATGCAGTTGAGGGTCACACACTGAATAATGAGGAGAAAAAATATGGAATAACTGGTCACTGAATGAGCAACATCCAGTTTTATACAATGAATGAAAGAAGTGTACTGTAGAAAGTGGTTTGTCATATAATTACCATGTCATAATGTATATCTACAAAATAGACCAAATTAAGATGGTACAGGCAACCTTACTTCTATTATTTCCTAACTTCTGAGTGCTTGTTTTTTATATTCTTCATACTTTTGTTTTAATACAGCTTCTGAGGTTCTAATTTCTGAAGTTTAAAAAGAAAAAGGAACTACACAAGAAGAATCAAAACCAAAAAATGTCATTGTATGTCTTTATGTTAATAGCCAAATGGGGCATCAGGATTAGAACTTTTAAATCAATAATGCTTAGGTTAATTGGTCAGAATAGCAGAATAGTTGGTCACAATCCTTTAGTGCAGTGTTTCTTAACCCGTGGGTTGCAAGACTATTTGAAAGGGTCGTGAACAAACTTTAAAAATGGACCAACAAACTTTAAAAATGGATTTCCCTTTAAAGGAGAAAAACTTGGGAAACCATGGTTTTCCCTTGCAGGCTGGTAGAGTTCCAGCCTGCAAGGGGTTGCTGTGTTCCCCCCTTCCTCACACATGTGGCTCCATGCCCCATACACCCACCCCTTGCCCCACATATGGTGGGGCTAGGAGCAGGGGGCAGCAGGTTGGGAGTAAGGAGCGCTGGGTTGGAACTGGCCATCCATGTTTACAAATGAATCCTGATACGAAAAAGGTTGAGAACCGTTGCTTTAGTGAACTAGTAACTGAGTGGCAGTTTCACAGATGTTTGCTGATGGCACAAGAATTTGTAAGACTCAGGAAACTTAGGTTGTATTCTAGTCTCCCAAGTAGACACACGTCTCCTTTTCTTCCACTTTGACTTCCATCTCTCCACCTATTCTCTGTTCCAATTTTGCCTCTCTTCCACCTGTTTTTTTTTTTTCTTCCTGATTCATTTTCCTTTCCTATGAAATTGCAGTCTCAACTCTTCTTTCCTAGTCCCAGTCTTATCACTTTACAGCTCTTCATTTGATCTCAGGATTTTTTCCAACAGCCAGTTCATTCCCAGTCCTCCCTCATTTCCATTATCCACCCTGCCTCTACTCCAAATCTCCTTGTTCATCCATTATTCCCATGCTCTGCTCTCCCTTTATTTCTGTCTTCTTGCCTAGCTAGTCATAGTATCTTTCACCTTTATCTCAGTCTTCTTGCCTAGCTAGTCATAGTATCTTTCCCTTCCAACTCCTACTGCCAGCTTCATGAGAATCCTTTTACCAATCTGCAGCTTTTTCTTCCTGTCTAACCTCTGCCTTGGCCTGCAGCAGTAATTATAAGGAAAGCTCCTCTAGTTCTGTGCAGGAGTAAGCTAGAGGCATGTCCCTACCATTCATCTGCAGTGTTGAACAGCATTGCCCTGTGTACATTGTTTCAAGTGTGGAAGGTAATGTAATTGCTTTAGTGCCCTCAGTAGAGCTCATTAGTCTGCCCACATTTTTCTTAGCAGAGTTTGGCACGTACAAACGTTCAGATAATTTGGGAAAATTTGCCCGGATTTTTTTATTTTTCTCATGGTAGAAACATGTACCCAGAGATGCCTGAACAGATGTTTGAATGCTGAGCCCTTATAGAGCACAGAGCTTGCTGTGCTCACTCTATGTGTACAGGGTTCCCCTAGCTACATATCTCAACATGCTCTGCGTGTTCCCTCAGTGTGGCCAGAGACAAATGGCACAAGTGCAGAAGGCCGACTTGACTGGCTTACCCAGACTGCCTGTCTCTCTCTGCAGCACAGCTCTCCTGGCAGTGATTCAACCCTGGTTGTTCCCACTTAAATGGCCACTCCAAAAGAAAAGTTTTGCCCTGGGAGAAAAATCCTGAACATCTGTACATTAGTGGTTTTTCCTGGGAAAGCAGAGACTCCCCCAGAGGAACTGAATATTTGTACGTGGCCTTTATCTTCACATTTGTGTGTGGTGCGCAAAATTTCCTCTTTTGGGGGTGGGGGTTAAGTTTTTTACTTGTATACAAATGTCAAGCTTCTGGTTTTGTAGAATGGAGTAAATCCCCTTGAATAAATTGGATACTTCTTAGAGCAATTGGGTTGGGGGAGTGTGTAGTCCCCCAAAATTGCTTTAAGAGGTATCTAACTTATTCAAAATATTATTCAATTTATTCAATTTGTATACATGTATCTATTTCTTCCCCCCCAGCAAATGTTTCCTGGGCAACCAAGTTCTGCAGACATTCCTGTTCCCTTCCCTTGAGCTTAAATCCGTAAACCTATAGCAGTCCTTGGCTCCTGTATTAGCTAAACTCCTGGGTTTTATGGTTTCTAGCATAATAGGTCTTGCATAATAGGTCTCCTCCAGGAATACTCTTGTAGCTTTCATCTTCAAAGGGGGCTGTTTTATTGGCCTTGTTAGGTCTGCCAGATACTAAAATTGCTGATATCAGAGTTCAACATTTTTTCTTTGTTGGGCAACCATATTCCATTTCTGTTTTCCCCATTCATGGAAGGTCTGGAACGGAATTAAACAGTAAGCACTTAAAACATTTTAATGCAAATGACCCAGTACTGAAAACCTTACTTATCGAGTAACCAATGGAGATGCAATCAATAATTACAAAAATTAATTAAGAACATTTTTATAAATATCCCCATTTTTGAAGACTGTCAGGTGCTTAAGTATCTATTTCATAGGTAAAATTTTGATTTTTATTAAATATTTTTGTACCAAAAAAGTAGTTGCTGAATTACCAGTTGTAAAATTTTATCTAAATCAGCTGTTTGTAGTTTCTATACCATGAAAGCTATTTTCAGCTTCCAGTTTCTGAATTCTTCTCCTAACCAGTTGTAACCACTTGTTTTTTAGCTAATTTGCCTCATCCAGTCCAGGGTCGCACAGTGGCATTAGAAGCAAAGTGGCAACCCTGCCTCCTATAATTATTTTCCAACTTTATAATCCTTTGTTTTACATGAGGGTGGTTGTCTAATATTTCTCACACAACTTTGACGAGTGCTTTGTTATTTTTAAGTCTTGCCATTTTCTTATCTCCTTTCTGTTGGAGGCCATCAGAACAAATTAGAGCAAGTTTTGTGTCTACAGTTCAGTACTTAACAATATTTGAAACCTTGATTCTGCGGACCTGGTCCTGAATTGCACTTAGTTTAGTGGAACTAGTAAGGAGGTCTGCAGAATCAGTCTTCTAGCGTGTACACCATTTATGATTGTAGAATAATTCTTTATTCGTTGTGTCAACACTCTGTCTAGATTGCTCCTCGGATCAGGAGGGGTTGCTATGTTAAGGAATGTTATATAATTCTATTAGTTGGTGTTATAAAGCACTTTTAATTTATGTTCATTGCTGTGTGCTTACCCTAGCTCTTTTGCATCTGTTTCCTCTTTAAGAACTTCCTCCTGTTGATTGGTGTAATCTAGTAATTTTTGCTAGCTGTAGAAATCTGAGTATATCTCTGTATATTGGTGTTAGAGTGAATCTTGGGGACTAGTTCAGTCAGAAGGTTTTACTTCCAATTAGTGTTTTGCACAGAAGTCTCCTTTTTTTAAAGGAGATGTAGAACATTGTATTGAAGTTATTTTGCATGTTGCAAATTAATCTGTGCTGCATGCATAATAAACCTCTTTGTGGTATGGCAGGTCTTGAAGAACTGATGACACTTGAAGAAAAGGCTAAACTCTATGCAGCAATTGGATATAGTGAAACAACTGTTGATCCTACACTGCCCAAGTCAGTAAGTAAAATTCAGCTTTATTACTTGATTATCCAGCATTTTGGCACGTGCAGTTTTATACTAGACAGCAATATGAAATGGCACAGACGGATCATTTTTAAAGTTAATTAATTTTTTTTTGTTAAATGTTTTGTTCCTCTTCCCTTAATTGAATGATTGTGAGGTTTTTATACCTACTGCCACTTCCTCAGAAAGTTCTTCTCAATTAGATATTATCAATTGATACATGTAGGCAAAATACAACTAACTACTCCTTGCATAACGTCATAATTATGTTATTGAAAAATGCAACTTTAAATGAAATGATGTTAAGCAAATCCAGTGTCTCCATAAGAATTAATGTATATGGGAGGGAGGGGTTAGGTTCCAGGGAAATTTTTGTTTTTGCCAGACAAAAGACATTCTGTACATATATAGTATATTTTTAAACAACTTAAACAAACAGTAATTTTAAACAAAGAAAACAGGTCTAAGTCTTAAATCATTTATACAATCACGAGTTAGAAATGTTCAGGGAATACTTGTACCAACACAAAGTAAACAACAATGGCTGCCACACTGAAGCAGGAGTGTCCTGTGGCTTATGTCACAAAGTAGTTACCTACTAGCAGGCAGCGGCCAAACAACATTATAACTGAACATTGTGTAACTTTAAACAAATATGGTCTCTAATAGATAAGCAATGTAATAACATCGTTCCAGTTAACATTATTTCATTAAGTGAGGATAAGTGTTAACTGTATGGATTATCAATTGATCAGTGTATCTATCTACAGATCTGGTACTACTTTGCTATAGCGATGCCCAGTTTAGACATCACTAGATGCCAGATAATTTCTAGGTTGAAGCCTTTTGCACATTCTCTAAACTCTGAAACTAGAATGATGGTGTTTAGAGAATTGAGGTCACTGTCAGGTGACAGTATGAGGATGGATTGTGTGCACACTTTTATATAAAGTAGACTTCATACGTCACCCTTCTGTGAGTTGCTTACAAATGGACTTGCCTTCTGAAGGAAGTGACGCAACTGTGTGCTGCGGGTATGAATCCCCACAAGTTTAATTGTACAGAAGCCAGTCTCAAACAGCAACTGTTACTTGTAACTAAAAATTATTTTACTTGTTCCTGCTTACATAGTATGAAGCCATGAGGCTCTCTGTAAAGCTGTTAAGCATGTCCATATCAATAAGGGAAAACCAGGAGAAACCCGAGTTGATAAAATTTGCATTAATTGACCTGAGTACAATGTTCACACAACGACCAGGTGCACAGGCAATAAGGTAAGCCTTCTACATTGAACCTTCTTTATTCCATATAAAATTTTTATGGTGCGTAGTATAAATCGGGATTATGGCCTAGATAATTTTTTTGGATAGTGCATAGCTTTCTCTTATTATTATGTAGTCTATTATAATGGGCATTTCAATGTGATTGTGTCTTAGTGGGTAGAAACAGTTCTATCAGTTACTGACAGGAGGTTAATCATCCACTCACTCAATTCTTGGGTATAGGCAGATGTAATAGTTGTCAGTGTCACATTATATCCGTATAACCTGTTACTATGGAGCTGATCAATCTTCATACTTCTGTAGTGATACAGGTGCAGCAAAACTGGTGAAATTTTAATTGTTTCATTCAGGGTTAAAGTTACAGTAGTTTAATTAACTTGTAAAGGAGCATGCATATGTAACAGTAACACTGTAATAGCTGATGGTGCTCCCAAGGGGCAACTCCCCAGCCTTGTTAAATATTTGAAACCTGATAAAGCAGCTAAAATGTATGTTTGTCCATACAAGCCTCTGTTATCTTTATATTCCTTTAGAGCTTTTGGTTTACTCTTAACTTCTCTGCTGCAAAACTTAATTTAGACATGTAATTAGAGCTCTTAGAATTTAACTCGGGCAAATGCATGAATTTGCATGCTTTGAAAGTATGTTCATAGTGCATATATCCCCAAAATGAATATGTAGTTCTTAAATCATGTTATGGTGTTCAGGAAGCATGTTTTAATAGTGAGAGTCCACAAATCTAGCATGTGAATAGATTGGCAAGTACCTTTTAGGGCATTGTATTTATTGAAACATTGAAATATGGGAAGAAGGCACGCAGCCATAACTGCATGATTCTTATAGTTATATATATAGTCTCTATACCTAAGCCGAACATTACACTCTTAAGTGCTGTTTCTTGTAAAATCATCTCCATTTTCATTAAACTATTTTTCTGAGAGGTACTAAGGCCTAAAACCACAAAAAACTTGGGTATGGCTGTGTTCAGTTAGGGGTGTGTGAAGTGGGCCGTATTCAATTTGGATTCAGCCTGATTTGGGGGGCAGTGATTTGATTTGTTGATTTGGATCACTGTCCCGATTCGATTCGGCTGAATTTGAATCTGAAGATTCGATGCTGATTCAGAGAATCAGCAATTCAACCATAAATATGGCTTTAAATGTTTGTTTTCTACATACCTCGAGGTACCAGGCATGGCTCATGAATGCTGAGATGTGGGGGGTGGATGGAGTGTCCCAAAGGAGCTCAGGGGGCCCCCTCGCATGCTCAGCAGCAGACCCAGAAGTGGACTGGAAGTACTTCCACTTCCGGATTCACCACCAAACACGTGGGGGATACCCCCCGCAATCCCCCGAGCTCAGCAATTGCCTGCAGGGGACCCTGGGTGCTCCCCCAGACCCAGGAGGCACTATTCGCCGAGCCAGGGCATGGTGGGGAAGGTGCTGCACGCTCCACGGTGGACCCGGAAATGCTTCTGGTCCACTTCCGGGCCCACCGTAGAGTGTGCTGGGGACCTCCCCACCTGCGCTCCCTTGGGATGCTCCAGCCACCCCACCGTCTCAGCGTTCACGAGCCACCTGGTATCTTGAGGTATGTAGAAAAAACATTTAAAGCTGTATCTATGTCCGAATCTTCGAATCTGTCTGAATTGATTCGGAGAGATTAAAGGGTCTCCTGATTCAATTTGGATTCTGTGATTTGGCCAGCTAATCTCTGCCAAATCGAATCGGTGACCAAAGCTTCGCACTCCCCTAGTGTTCAGTGTTGTCATAGCTAACTCTTTTAGATGTCCCTCTTCAAGGCATGGATTCACACCTGAATTGTGTGCCTAACTTGCCTATGAAATGAATGGGGAGAGTTGGATGATTAGAATTGGAATTCACAACAGCCAGCATGCTGGTTTAGGGGGATGCCTGCAGCTGCCAATTAAAAAAAAAAGAGGGATATTCTGAAATCCTGCCTCTCTCCCAGTGTCTTCCTGTCTCTGCTGGCCCTGGGATTCATAGGCCAAAACCTCTTCCTGGGCTTAAGTGCCTAAGTTGTCCCTTTGCTTATAAAACATGGTCTGTGTTGGTGGTACCTATCTTATATTTATATTTTAATTTTATGTAACAGCTTTTAGTGGTTAGAACATTTGCACAGGAAGTGGGGGGCCAAGGATTTTAAGCCTTTTTCAGCCTGAAGGGGTTTGTATGTTCAGCTTCTACCTTGCCAAGAGAGCTTCTAACCACCACACTAAAAAAGGACTAGGGTGGAAGCACTCTTAACCCCTCCTGTTGAAAGTGTGGCACATTGCAGCAAATAGGAAAAGACTTGTAGGGCAGAAGGGAATAACTAAAAGGGACCATAACTTTGTGCCACTGAGTTGATTTCTCTGGGAGAGGATAATCCTGGGATATATGGTCTGCTTTCAGCACTGTTTGTGTTTTATTAAGTAACTTTTTAATGGAAATGCATGAGCTGTACCCACGATTGTTGCTTTTGAAACTTCAGCTGAGCTAGGTAAGCTGCAACCCCTTAGGGGATAACATTACCGACAAGTCTGGATATTTTTCTTATAAGTTGAGAGGAAAGAACTGTAAGCAAAGATCTTGATGCAGAAATTGCTGAAGAAGAGGAACCACTAGATAAGAAATGTGTTCTATTTTTATTCCGTATATAGTGATCTGAAAGATCTGGGAATTACTAACTTAAGGAGATAGCTTTTTAATAGAAACCTCTCCTCTCCTGCTGTAGGCCAAAGTAACAAAATATCCCCAAATGGGGTTAGAAAGAAGAAAAAGGATACATTCTTTTTTTTTTAATATAGTGGGGCACTTTTTTCAGTTTATGAAGGGACCTTTCCAACGGAGACCTATTTAAAAGATGGGGAAGGTGATAGAAAATGTAGGTTTACAGTAGTTATTTATTTTCCTGGTAACTCACTATTAAGACAGTGGATGTTGGGTAAATATAATTTTTATACCATTTTACCTTCTGTACAGATTTGAAACAAAAATAAACTCATTCGAAGTTATGGGCATGTCTCGAGAAAAATGTATACCCTGTCTACTATCTTCTCGAACAGTCTGTTCAGAAAACAATACATCACTCTTGAGCATAATGTTTGAGACCAACCCCTTAGATGAGAAAGCTGATCAAAAAATCAGAGTAGAAGCACAGCCATTGGAAATAATATATGATGCAGTAAGTAAGAATATTTTATTGAAGTACTGATTTTTTTTTTTTTTTTTTTCCAAGAATTTTGTAATTCACTTTTTAATGTTATTCCATTATTTTAACAGAGGACTGTGAATAGCTTAGTGGACTTTTTTAGACCTCCAAAAGATGTACATTTAGAGCAACTGACCTCTGCAACTTTGATGAAGCTTGAAGAATTTCGTGAGAAGACATCAACAGGTGAACATTGAAAAACACTTGAATTGATGTAGTTTCTGCTAAATTTTGCTTCCTAAAAATGTGAAAATTTATTTTTTTATTCGAAAAATTCTCATAGATGTTTAATACATCTTAACATTGCTAATGGACATACGCATACAGTTTACGTAGATTGAAGACAATAATTAATAAAATATTGCAACAAAAGAAAATACAAATTTCAAAAGAGCCAAAGGTCAGTACGCTAAAAACGTTAAACACCCCCGCTGTACTCTGTAGACATAGATTGCATGTAATAAAGAAAAATCCCATGCAGCATAGATTACTAATAGTCATTTTGGGAAGATTTTAAAGCAGTTCAAAATCTGGGGAATAGTTATGCTTATTATTATTATTTTTTTGGATCTAGCCCTTGCCACACGTGATGTATATTACGCAATGATCTGATTAATCGCACAATAAATTTAGACTGATCACACATGCAAGTAAGACTTTCCATGCATGCAAAGTAATTATCACACAACTAACTGGTTAATCTTGCAATACATTTAGACCGGCCACATTTGCAACATAATTATCACACCATAAAAAGGTCCATCCAGCTATAAAATGATGGAACCAGCTACAAACTTGCGCATTACACGGTTTCGAAGTGGCTGCACCCAGAGCAGCTTGTGCGTGGGGGGAAGTAGACCAGTGTGGGGGGAAGGGGAAAAGTGCCACTGAGCTGATTGGCAGAATGGGAGCATTCTCTTGTGATATGAATCCTTCTGGTCCTCCATTGAAGGAGAATAGTCCCCTCCTCGCACTCCTCTGGGCTGATCTGGTTGGTGGAAGCACTCAGTTGCCGTAACAAGGCTCCAGAAGTCTTGCTGCAGGGGCACAGCAGCCTACCTTTACCCCACACTGCCTCGAGCTAACCCAGTGTGATGTGGGGTGAGGCAGGCTCATTTTGCCTCGGTGGCGAGTCACCCAAGCTTTCCTCACCCCACTCTCTTCTCCTAGTCAGCTAGGCAGCAATGGGAAACCAACAGAGTTATGAGCCAGGCTTGGGGAGTGCTTTCATACATCAGGTTAATAGCCCTACTGGCTTTTAAATCATTGCCCTTGTCACTCTGCTGAGCAGCTGGAGGGGCTGGGAGCCTGGCATGGAAGGGTTTCCCTCAACCTGGCTCTTAGACTCTGTGGTTTTTATACTGCTGACTACCATTCAGCTGAGGATGAAAGGAACACAAGGAGAAGCTGGTAGGACCAGGAGTCAGGCTTGGAAGCCCAGCTTGCCACCCCCAGCACTCAGCTTAGCCAGGGGGAGGGGAAAGGGAAGCAGGCAGGGGGCAGCATTCCTGGTATTCATCTTCAGAAAGGAGGGAACAACTGGAAGGAAGTGAACCTGGTTTCATGAAGGTGCAGGAACCTTTCCCCT